AAATTTCTTTTTGGACAAATATTTTTGCGGGAACCGGGACTATATTTTTTGGCGTCAGATTAGCAAATGAGGCACCGGCATGGTTTTAACTGACCAATCAACTGAATGAGTATTGCATTATGGGTTACTACGAATACTACAGGAATTTTACGCTTGAAAAAGGAAAAATCTTATTGTAAATGAAATGCATTTTTTAAAATATTATTTTCATGCTCCTCATGACAAACAATTCATTTATTAAATAAACGGCGGAAGTCTAGGTTTCTGAAAATCATACTGCAAAAGCGATTTGCGTCAGTATTAATTCCTTTGTTGCACTATCGGTGAATACAATTGCCAAGTGAATTCCCTGACCAAACACGTGATCAAGAATGTAAACAAAGTTTTGTCCATTTAAATGCATGAGAAGCTGTTCGTTTTCCTTACCCTTGAAGCGCTGGTGTTCTGAACTAGACACAAACTACATTTTATTGAACATTTTTTTCCATTTAACAACAAATCAAAAACGCTTGTAACATCTTCCATAGTTTCTTATCTTTGTATTTTGTTCGTAAGAACATTTTTTTTTATTTTGCAGTCCATTAACATGATCGTAGATTGGCCTGAACAACGTGTTCGAAAATAAAATGTAAACATGTATTTGGCATTAACATTGCTATTCATTCAACGATTGGCCAGTTGCTCGTGACAAGATCCTCTGTGCGCATTTATAACAATAGCCATATAAGGCAAACAAAGGTTTGTCAGTGTAGATGATAATGCACATTTTTACCAGCGCATCGATCACTAGTGAGCTGTAATTTTCGCCGAAAAGTATAAGAAATATTATTATTTTAACACCCCTCCTATAGCCACCCTTTTCCTGTTGAAAATCATGAAAGTCTTTCAGAAAGGTCTGGAAACATTTGTTACAGGACATGTTTTCAAAAGAAACAGGCTATAGCAATATCGTGTTTACTGCCAATTTTATTTATAAAACCGGTTCTACCATATAACCTTTGAATAGATCAACCTAAACCACGTGTCTTGAATTTAAATCACAATAACATTAGTAGGGGTGATTCAGTCAGTTAGACATAAAGGATACACGTTACTCAGTATAGTTATAGTACAAAAACAAAATTTTATGGACTGATATATTGAAAAATTAATTTTTAACAGTCAAATCAATTTCATTAATTTCTTCTAGTAATTTTGCTTGTTAATTTTGTGACTAGATTAAGTAATCTTAATCATAAAACAACGGTTGAGTTTGTTCACTTCTTTCAAAATGTATGTATCGAAAATAACGTACCGAGACAAAATAACTGTAAACCAAATATTATTCGCATCATCGTTTATTCGCGATTCATTACAGTTTAAAATCAGGCAGTCAGCAACAATTTCTGCGACCGAGGAAACATTCTTTACAAATACTGATCAAAAGTCTTGGTTCGTGGCAATTAATATTCACGAATTAAAGTAGGTCGCAGTACTCGTGAATATTTCTCACAGGTGAATAAAAGTTGGTTTACAGTACTTGATACATATCAAACAGTGAAAGAGGCATATCATTTCACCCCTATTTACAGGCTTTTCCTGTTGATTGGTATTTTGACAGAGGAAGGTCAGGGACTGAGAATCTAAAATTAATTTCATCTGCCCTTACCAACTTATCATGCAGTCTGCATTGTCCACTAAGATATTTTCATGTAAGTTCTTCAAGTAATCAAATTCTGAGTGGTCTAGCCCAGCATAAAAAAATATATTTATTTTGATATGCAGTAGAATTTATTGATTGTTCTCAAGGATAGTGTGCAACTTTGCCTGAAAAGTTTATAGGTAATGTCATGTTATTTCAGTAAAATGCATTGTTCAGACATATGAATTAAGTCCTTGCTGTAAATTGATTGATCAGGGAAGCTTAAAGAAATAATAAACACTTGATTTGATTTAATGGACAAATAGAGATTGTATAGTCCGCTGTCAAGCCAATCTCTGGGAGAAAACCAATCAGCTCTCCAGGCTCGATAGTCTAACACAAAGTCAAAGTAGTGAACGGAAAAGTTGTGTATTTCTAGATTAATTTGTCATTATTGACTTGAGTTTTTGGAACCCATCACTTGATTCTTATCTGACCCTAAAGTTTTCACATCTTGCAAATTAATGGAAGAAGATGGGTACATTAGCAAAATGCTTAATCAGGAGATTTTAAAAGTTACAACAACAACGACCAAAAAAAAAAACAACTTTGCAGTTAGGACTATTAAATCATAGAGTTTGTCAGTAAGGAATCGCTTCAGAACAGCTAGAGGAGGAAGTTTTGGGTCATACAGAGGCAGGAGGTTTTTCTGACGGATATGACACACGGACAGACATCGATGTGAGGTGAGAATCCCCATTATATAGGAGGTCTGGGAGGCTGTGAAACTCTGGTCCATGGGGAGCGCACTGTACAATTACTTTATTGAGCTCCAAGTACATTCCTTCCAAAACCAGTGCTGACAAAAGCTTAATGGTGATGAAGTATGGCCCATCTAAACAGAATAACACCAGATTTTTATGGAATTTGATGTAGAAAGGAGGGAGTTTATGTGGGTGTCAAATCTAGACCTTTGATGCACTTTGGTGTTGGCTGCAAGAATTCAATAAAACACAGATAGTGATGCACTGTGATTATTAATGATACAACCATTAATATTTCAGTCTGTGTCTTTGAACGGAGGAAAACAAGTTAAATTCTGTATAGATTAATCAAGGTTCAGGCCGCACTGCGAGATTGAGGAATTTTTTAGCCATTAGCGGCTGAGAGATGACACGATCAGGGCGTCTTACTTAGGATTTTGACGACGCTGGCTGAGGGGTCATCTCTGCTCCATCTACACAGAACTAAATTGCTGCTCTTGATATTTTCTGTTCTGTTGACTTAATGTTCTCAGAATGATCGTCTTCGGAATTCACGGATCTCTGTTTCTTTCTTTCTTCTTTTGGGCCCAGGGTTGTTACGTCTATCCTGAAGGAAAGCGGGATCCTTGTCAAAATAAAACGTGTCATTTTTATGGCCGCTGTATTCCGTCTGATGATGGGCGACTTTCCGTGTGCGTTTGTCCGCAGTATTGTTACGATTACGGAGATAATGTGGATAACGAGCCGGTCTGTGGAAGTAACAATGTGGACTACCCTAACCTCTGCTCCTTCCAGAAAGCCGCGTGTGAAACGCAGAAAAACATGACCTTTACGATCGGAAAATGTGGTAAGGGCTACAAGTACAAGGTAAATGCTGGTGTCCTCGGAATTTTTCAAAGTAAGAGTATATAGTTTGCAGTAATGAAAATTGAAGATGTTTTAAAGGATTTAAAATTGTTAAAATTAATGGTAAATGCATAGCATTATGAAGTAAAGTAAATAGTCAAGTCAATTTTATTCCTACCTACCGGTAATAATTATTGTCATTTCAAAAAAAGGAGGAAAACTGGTTTCTCGGCAGAAACATAATGTCTTCTGGATTCTTAATCTAGTTTGTGTTATTGATCTGTGTTGCTCTGGAGTTGAGTAGTCATGGAGATAAATTTTCAGAATTTGTTCAAATTGTGATCACTCTGTCAGTCTTAAAGTCATTTACAAGGGAAATGGAGAAACCGAGCTTTTGGGGGAAAAAATGAAGTGTATTGATTTTTGGGATGTAGCTTCTGGTCTCGAGAGGGGTTGTATTTTTGTGGTAATTGAATTTTCTTTCCTTTGTTCGACAAGAAATTTTATAGACATTGTCATGTAACAAAAAAGTTGTTTGAAAATGTCTAAGGGTCACAAGAAATATTTTATTTGGCCAACATATCTGTCTGCAGTGCCAATATTGACAAATATTGGGTAACTTTTTCTTGATAGTAAAGTATTCTGTTCAAAATCAATTACCGTGAATTGAAGTAGAATCACAGGCAGAAGTACTGAAGCCAAGAGTTACAAATTAAATTGAAAGAAAAAGCCAGTCTCAGGCATGTTTTTGTATTATATTTTTGCACAGCTGTAAAAAGCCATATAATATTGTGTAAAAGACTTTGGGTTATATTTTATTTTTGAGATAGTCTGTTTCTACAATATTACAGACTTGGTATCCAGTTCTGTTCCTGACCTTTAGATATGAGTTTTTCTGTCATCATGGTCATATATCCAGCTTTCTTTGTAGATATAGTAACATTTTATTCAGTACCTGCTACTCTACAGTGGAAGGATTTCTGGCATTGCTCTGTCTTTGATTAAATGAAGAAATAAACTAAGGTTTTACTAGATGTCCTTGTGTTTCTATAACATCAGTGAATTCAACCTTTCTTCTACATATATCTGTTGCAGAGATTGATATTTAATAGATAGTAGATGCTCTTTTGTCCAATGATGAATGTATTTCTATAATCATGATGATGTAGTCAGTTGATTTAGTTGAGATATTGTTTTGGTTGCAATATATTAGTGCTCAATCCTTTTCCTACAGTCAGTGTGTTTCTATAATGTACTTATCCTGTCAAGAAGTAGCAGAGATAGGTATATATGAGTTTCTGGTATTCTTTCTACAGGAAAATGTGTTTTTTTAAAGTACCCAGCTCTTTGATAGATGTTAACTCATGCTATTCCTCCTATGTATTGGTGTGTTTCTGTAAAATACCTCATTTTTTGATGGACATAAGTTTGTGTCCTATTCGTCATACAGTTTGGTGTGTTAACCAGGCCTTTTGATTGGTGATTACAATTCCTCCATTAGATAGGTCACAATATTTTTATAACCCATCTTGCCTGCTGATTGATATCGTGTAATTCCTCCTACATTTTGATCGGTGTCAGTTTGTGCTGTTCTTCTTACATTTGATTGGTGTCAGTTTCTATATTCCTCCTACATGTTTGTGCTATTCTTCCTATATTTTGACTCTACAGATGGGTATTTTCTTTTGATTGGTGTCAGTTTCTGCTAGTTAGACTCTATACAGTTGGGTATTTTCTTTTGATTGGTGTATCGTTCCTCCTACAGATAGATGTAAGGATCTGGCGTGCACCTCCCCCCAGGTGTGTATCGTTGACCCCGACACTCGTATCCCGCGCTGTGGGTGTGTCCAGAAGTGTGAGGACCGAATGGCTCAGGTGTGCGGGACGGATGGACGTCAGTACAGCAACAGGTGTATGTTAGAACTTCACGCATGTCAGAGTCGGCAGAATATCAAGGTCAAGAACGAGGGACCCTGCCAAGGTACTCAACTAATTAAATCCCGTCAAGATATGTAGGCTTAATTAAGATATTGGTTTAATTTAGTTGTGTCATACTACTCACCGTAATAAACAAATCCTGCCAAGATATCGACCTAATTAAGAGTTTTTGAAGTAGTCCAGTCAACATTTTTGACCTAATTAAAATATTGAACTATTTATATAAATGTCAAGGTTATGACCTAATATTTTGCAGATGAATTACTGTATACGGGGTAATTTTCGCCTCGTCTTAATTTCGCCCTTTCACACTTGAACTATTTATATAAATGTCAAGGTTATGACCTAATATTTTGCAGATGAATTACTGTATACAGGGTAATTTTCGCCTCGTCTTAATTTCGCCCTTTCACACTTGAAAACAATTTTGGCACATTTTAAATTCGCCCAGTCATAGTTTTGTTTAAGAAATTTTATTGTATTCTTTGAATTCGCCCCGTTTTAAATTCCCCAATTTAAAGTAGGGCGAAAGGGGCGAAAATAAAACGAGGGTGAAAATTTCCCTGTATACAGTATATTAAGCTCAGTCAGTATAAATAAATAGGTTGAGAGGGCATACTGTATTTAAAATATATAATAGAAAATATGGGAGGAAACTGAATTAGGATGATATATTTTGAGCTAGGGGAACTCACAGTTAACCCTCTTTATTTTGTATTTTGTATTTAAAATGTATTTAGAATATATAATAGAAAATATGGGAGGAAACTGAATTAGGATGATATATTTTGAGCTAGGGGAACTCACAGTTAACCCCCTTCCCCGCAGTCACGCATTTTAACGCATATACCATTTCCTATTTCTAACGCAAAATCATGGATATACCCTTTCCCCGCAATCACGCACTTTCACGCACTTTGAAAAGTTCATTTTATAATCTTCAATTTATTGCCAAAATCCTTCTATTTTAAACTTGCTGAAATCTCATAAAATAAGAAAAGTTATTTTCTTATCAAAATATTACTCATATTATTATTTAAGTTATAACAAGTTATAAACTTAAGAGAAACTAGTACATGTAGTATCATGCTATAAAGTGCTTGCAAGGAAATGGTAAACACATATTTTTATGACCTTAACATTTAAGTGTATATTGCATAACAATTCAGTAAGTTGTAAAGAGTTAATCTTAGTGGAGGCAAAAAAGTTACATGCTTAATTGAAGTTAATTCCCATTTTAAAATGATATGAATAAAACTAGTATGTCTTCAGTAATTTACTCAGTTGTTGAGGCATGCATATATATATTCACATGTTGTCATTGAGGGTTTTTCTATTATATTTTATATCATAGTACATTTGTATTTTGTACTCAATCATTCTGTATTATATATTGTTGTTTATATTGGAGTATAATTGTTGTATCAATAAAATTCTTTCAATTTGTGTCTGTGTCTGAAGTCATATATTGTATTTCATGATCATTTATGGCATATTTGTATAACTTGCATGAATAAATAATAAGGTAAACATGGGTCCAAGTTTTATAAAAGAATTACATTTTAGGAAACTAGATTCCTTCAATTTTCCCAAAACAAGTGTATGATAACTGAAATAAAAAAAAAAACAGTGGTCATAGAATACAGACTTGCGCTCTGAATATCTTGTTTCTAAATGATTTTTGAAAATTTGATTAAATGAGGTTTTACAGATTTATTTCAGATGTCAGTGAATATTGTATGAAAGAATGTGAATTATGATTTTGATGGGTATTTCCAAAAATATTGTTTGTAAAGACTTTTAATGTACTACATGATTCTTTTAGGCTATGAATAGTTTGTAAGAAGACTATATAACATTTTGACATATTGAAAACTGATTTTAGATTATAGGCAGCTGACCGATGACAATGGTGAAATTAAGCCAATGCGTGAGGGTGAGACTTAAATTGGCAGTGTTGTTCCTAAGCTTCCTGTGTAGGAGAAGATCTGACAGAATTATAAATTACAAGGAATCAGAAATCTTTTTGTCATGATCATATACATGCAATGTGTAAAATTTAAATTCATGGAGAAATCCATTGAAAGGCATTAAGTTGCTTTCCAGATATGAAAAAAGTAATATTATTACAAACTTCATTTTTAGGCTAAACATAAACTCTTAAGAAAATACAGATTCTGGTGCACTTAACATGTGACAATTTTCTAATCAGCATGGTTTGTTTACAAATAACAAAGATTCTGTCAGATTTAGGCATCAGTCTATTGTGTCTCTTGCCGTAAACATTGTGGTGGGGGGCATATGTCAGCACGGTTTTGAAGAGCACAAATAGATTAGAGCACCTGTTATAGTAGATAAACTGAGCCCCCCTTCCACTCCTTCACCAGCACAGAGTTAGGCAGGGGTTTAAAAATACGGTGGTCCGAGGTCCGGGACCTAAAGATTATTGGGGCGGACTAGCCAATTGTTACCCTTTGATAGTCCGTCGGACTAGTAGTCTTGAGAAGAAGAAAAATTATTTTAATTCCGTAATTTTTCGGGCCGAAATTCGGCCCCAGTTCCAATGGGAAATATGCCTGTATTTTCCCATATTGTAGTGGAAGTCATCCCAAAGAAAAACTTACGAAATGTGTGATCAAATTCAGTTTGTTTATTGCATTTTTTCAAGTAGAGTTCAAGCATGTTTTGTGGTTGTTCAGCCATGTTGGATTTTTCTTCATTAGTTAATTCATACCACTATTGTTCTTTATGCAAGTAATTAGATAATTCATACCAAGAATAGTCTTGATTTGTGATAACAATTGTTCGTTTTAAAGTAATACAAACAAAGCATTTTGCCAATGCTGTTTTAATGACTGGGTTTTCTGGGATATTCCCCAATTAATTTAGCCAAATTGAAGCTGAAATTCCAAATTCTTATGGCCCAAGCCCCCAGTCCCAAAGTACTAACAAAAACCCCCACTGTAATCAAATTGATTAAAACAATGCATGTTTTTTTTAAACTTTGGACTAGTAATTTTATGACACGGACTAGTTAAATTTACTAGCTCAATAGTCCTTGGACTAGTGAATTTTTAGGGAAAATTTAAACCCCTGGTTAGGTCCCACTAACGTAAAGAAACAGTAGGATAACCTTAAAAGAAATTATTTTCTTTTCCAGTGTATGTGTTGTGTGTGATTTTGATGTAAATTTTTATACATTTACAGAGTGGCCACTACTGGTTTTTGCATGCATGTAGTTTTAAGTATTTAAAGCAATGTTTTTTGAGATGTTGTAACTTGCACTATAAGATTTTTTTGCTAGATGATTAGAAAAGGAGCATATGGTAAACCATGACATCAAGAGCATATATCGGTAACATAACCATTAGTTGTTGAGGAGCATATGGTAATCTTTTTGAGAATTTTAGTAAACCATTAGAAAAGGAGAATATGTTAGACCATGGATAAGGGGCATTGGTATTAGAAAAAAGGGCTTATGGTAAACCATTAAAAAAGGGACATAAGGTAAACCATTAGAAAGGGACATAAGGTAAACCATTAGAAAAGGACATAAGGTAAACCATTAAAAAAGGGACATAAGGTAAACCATTAGAAAGGGACATAGGTAAACCATTAAAAAAAGGGACATAAGGTAAACCATCAGAAAAGGAACATATGGTTAAACCATTAGATAAGGGACATATGGTAAACCATTAGAAAAGGAACATAAAGTAAACCATTAGAAAAGGAACATATGGTTAAACCATTAGAAAAGAAACATATGGTAAACCATTAGAAAAGAAACATATGGTTAAACCATTAGAAAAGAAACATATGGTTAAACCATTAGAAAAGAAACATATGGTTAAACCATTAGAAAAGAAACATAAGGTAAACCATTAGAAAAGGGACATATGGTAAATCATTTAAAAAGGGACATATGGTAAACCATTAGAAAAGGAACATATGGTAAACCATTAGAAAAGGACATATGGTAAACCATTAGAAAAGGACATATGGTAAACCAATTAAAAAGGGACATATGGTAAACCATTAGAAAAGGGACATATGGTAAATCATTTAAAAAGGGACATATGGTAAACCATTAGAAAAGAAACATATGGTTAAACCATTAGAAAAGGAACATATGGTTAAACCATTAGAAAAGGACATATGGTAAACCATTAGAAAAGGGACATATGGTAAACCATTTAAAAAGGGACATATGGTAAACCATTAGAAAAGGAACATAAAGTAAACCATTAAAAAACATATGGTTAAACCATTAGAAAAGAAACATAAGGTAAACCATTAGAAAAGAAACATAAGGTAGACCATTAGAAAAGGAACATATGGTTAAACCATTAGAAAAGGACCATATGGTTAAACCATTAGAAAAGGGACATATGGTAAACCATTAGAAAAGGAACATAAAGTAAACCATTAGAAAAGAAACATATGGTAAACCATTAGAAAAGAAACATAAGGTAAGGCCTAGAAAAAAAATATGTTTGTTTCCGCTTTCCCGACCGACCCTAATTTATAGTGCTGACCCTAAATATTTTTTTAATGCTTTTGTCCCATGATGTGCAAGATTTCAACCAGGGAATTATAGCCTCCAACTTTGCAAGCTTTTCAAGACAGAAAGAAGTTTGGGTCACCTTTCTATTATAAGTTAAGTCACAGTAATGCTTGAAAACACAATTTCTTTTGTCATTAATGTTACTTCTACATACATTTTGATTAAAGAAGCAAAAAAAAATTTTTCAAAAAAAAAAAATTGCCTACCTACCTACCCTATATTTTTTCAGCCTGAAAGCGGAAACAAACATATTTTTTTCTAGGCCTAAACCATAAGAAAAGAAACATATGGTAAACCATTAGAAAAGGGACATATGGTAAACCATTTAAAAAGGGACATATGGTAAACCATAAGAAAAGAAACATAAGGTTAAACCATTAGATAAGGAGTATATGGTAACCATTAGATAAGCAGCATTATAACACGGGTAAACCATTGGTTGGATGACTTTTTATGAAAAATGCCTGAGGATGCATTTTAATTGTCACAAGTAAGCAGTGATTATGGGTAGGTGAAAAAATGGTCATCAAACAATTCTCTATAACATTATATATATATCTTAGAAATTAGAAATGTGGTGGCTTTTATTTTTGTATTTTTTAGGTCACCTGAGTAACTCGGGTGACCTATTGCTATCCGTTTTCATCCGTCGTCGTCCGTCGTGTGTTAAGATTTGAACATTTTCAGCTTCTTCTCTGAAACCACTGAACCATTTTCAACCAAATTTGGCATACAGCATCTATGGGTGAAGGGGAACAAAAACTGAATTTTATGGTCCCCACCCCCCTGGGGCCTGAGGGGTGGGGCCAAAACCACCAAAATTATTGCAATCTTTAAAAATCATCTTCTTTACTCCTGGACATCAAGCAGGCAAACTGTTGGCATGAATGTAATGAGCATTGAGTCCTCTACCAAAATTGTGGAATTCATGGCCTCAGGGTAAGGGGTTCTTGTGCTAGGGTGGGGCTATATAGATTATATAGTGAAAATGCATTATTTCTTTGAAAATCTTGTTCTCTGCTCCTGGGTATTAAGTAAACTAACTTAGTACATAGTTATGTTGAGAAAGAGTGCCTCTTCCAAAATTGTGAATTTTATTACCCCAGGGTCAGGGGTCCTGGTGTTTTCGGGCGGGGCTCTATTGATCATATAGTGAAAATGCATTTATTCTTTGAAAATCTTCTTCTCTGCTTCTGGGTATTAAATAAACTAATTAAGTACATAATTATGTTGAGAAAGAGTGCCTCTTCCAAAATTGTGAATTTTATGGCCCCCAGGTCAGGGGTTCTGGTGTTAGGGCGGGGCTCTATTGATCATATAGTGAAAATGCATTATTTCTTTGAAAATCTTCTCTGCTCTTGGGTATTAAATAAACTAACTAAGTACATAGTTATGATGATCAAGAGTTCCACTTCCAAAATTTTGAATTTTATGGCCGCAGGGTCAGGCATTGTGGTATTAGGGCGGGGCTCTATTGATTATATAGTGTAAGTGCATTAATTCTTTGAAAATCTTTTCATTTGCTCTTGGGTTTATGCCAATGATCCAAGTATATATATATTTATGATGAAGAAAGGTGCATCTAGCAAAATGGTTATTTTTTATGCCCCTTGGGTCGGGGGGGGGGGGGGGGGTTACATAGTTTGAAAAAAAAATTAATGCTTTAAAATCTGCATTTTAGTTTAATGAACCATTTTATGATAACATTTGCAAAATTTTGAAATACCAGGCCCCAGGGTCAGTGGTTCCTTTGGGGCGAGGTGCACAACTGGTTATAAAGTGGAAGTGCATTTTCTCTTTGTTACTCTGATCTACCTCAGGGTATTAAGTAAATAGAGTAAGTATACTAAGTTTATAATTATGATAAGCAATGGTGCCTCTTTCAAAATTGTGAATTGTGAATTTCATGGCCTCTGGGGTAAAACACGAACCAATTTTAATTGTTTGAAAGTTGTTACACGATACTCAGGTGACTTATAACGCCCGTGGGCCTCTTGTTTCAAATCACAAGACATTTCTTTTTATCTTGGACATTTTTTTTTTTAAATAATCAAGTATTTTGTAACAACACTGGGCAGAATTAATTTTTAGCTCTACTGGTCAGAGACCAGAAGAGCTTATGCGATAGTAATGCGTCCGGCGTCCGTCCGTCCGTCTGTCTAGCTGTCTGTCTGTCCGTCTGTCTGTAAACAATTTTTCAAAACGCTACTCCTCCTACAGTTTTGGTCTGATTTCAATATAACTTGGCACACAAGTAGACTACACTAAGATACATAGAATAATGCATTGGTTTTTGATTTCGATGAACGGTGTTGCCATGGTTACTAAAAATAGAATTTTCTGTGAAATTCCTTAAAAACGCTACTCCTTCTGCAGTTTTAGTCTGATTTCAATATAACTTGGCACACAAGTAGACTACACTAAGGTACATGGAATAGTGCATCGGTTTTTAATTTCGATGAACGGTGTTGCCATGGTTACTAAAAATAGAATTTTCTGTGAAATTCCTTTAAAACGCTACTCCTTCTACAGTTTTGGTCTGATTCCAGTATTGCTTGGCACAGAAGTAGACTACACTAAGATACATAAAATAGTGCATCAGTTTTTGATTTCGATGAACGGTGTTGCCATGGTTACTAAAAATATAATTTTCTGTGAAATTCCTTAAAAACGCTACTCCTTCTACAGTTTTGGTCTGATTTCAGTATAACTTGGCACACAAGTAGACTACACTAAGGTACATGGGGTAGTGCATCGGTTTTTAATTTCAATGAATGGTGTTGCCATGGTTACTAAAAATAGAATTTTTTGTGAAATTCCTTTAAAACGCTACTCCTTCTACAGTTTTGGTCTGATTTCAATATAACTTCGCACACAAGTACATGTAGACTACACTAAGATACATGGATAGTGAATCAGTTTTTGATTTTGATGAACGGTGTTACTATGGTTACTAAAAATAGAATTTTCTGTGAAATTCCTTTAAAACACTTCTCCTTCTACAGTTTTGGTCTGATTTCAATATAACTTTTCACACAAGTACACTACATTAAGATACATAGAATAGTGCATCAGTTTTTAATTTCGATGAACAGTGTTACCATGGTTACTAAAAATAGAATTTTCTGTGAAATTCCTTTAAAACGCTACTCCTTCTACAGTTTTGGTCTGATTTCAATATAACTTGGCACACAAGTAGACTACACTAAGATACATAAAATAGTGCATTGGTTTTCGATTTTGATGAACGGTGTTACCATGGTTACTAAAAATAGAATTTTCTGTGAAATTCCTTTAAAACGCTACTCCTTCTACAGTTTTAGTCTGATTTCAATATAACTTGGCACACAAGTAGACTACACTAAGATACATAGAATAGTGCATCGGTTTTTGATTTCGATGAACGGTGTTACCATGGTTACTAAAAATAGAATTTTCTGTGAAATTCCTTTAAAACGCTACTCCTTCTACAGTTTTAGTTTGATTTCAAAATAAGTTGGCACACAAGTCGACTACACAAAGATACATAAAATAGTGCAATGGTTTTTGATAAGTACAAACCAGTAGAGCTACAGTCTCGACAGAGACTTCTGGTTCATAATTTATTTCAAAAACTTTTAGGGAACTTTATCATAGATCTTTTTCTTAAATAAGAGAACGTATACTAACAGGATTATCAATAAATATTTTAATTTGTGAATTCTCTGAAAAAAAAAAAAATCATTATCTATTTAAAAAAAATTAATAAAGGTTTCAAAAATATTACCTTGAAGTTTAAATACATGTAAATTAAAGTAAGTTTTAAAAGAGAAGAGGAAATTAAAAATAAAAATGCATGCAAAGTGTGCAGATTTTAAAATAATTGTTATTTAAACTAAACTTTCCTTTCTAGATATTCTTGACATTTTGATTTTGCACATAAGTAAAGTCCTCTTTGATTACCAGGTATGTTGTATTAATTTTGACTGATTTAAGCTAAAATATTGTATAGTGATATAAATTTTGTTTGTTTTGAAGGTCCATGTGCCTCCGTGACATGTTATTACGGTTCGTGCCGGATTGACAACCGTAATCGGGCCATGTGTGACTGTGAGCCAGAGTGTCCCGACCCTGGGTCTGACCCCCCGGTCTGTGGGTCTGATGGACAGAACTACCGCAGCGAATGTCACCTCAGGAAGGAAGCCTGTGAGAGCGGGAAGTTGATCAGCAAGATACGGGACGGACCATGTGGTGAGTCCAAAAATCAGGCTACGCTGGCAATTATCTGTTTATGAGATGGTTAAGGAGGACTATAAAGGATTACATTACATGTCTAACTGAATAAGATTAGAATTGTGGGTAATTGATTCTTTAACTCTTTGTAGCCTCTATACCAGTGTCTTGTCACACTAAGCAGTGTGGTCGAGATCAGAGATGCGTGGAGGAGAATGGCCGCGTGATGTGTATGGACAAGCCGTGTAAAAATTGTCGGGGGGAACCATTTAAACCTGTAAGTATCACTAACCTCAGTCAAGCTTTGGAGAGTGTAAACAGTAACATTTTAAAAATTTCTGCAACTTGAGATTTAAATGCAAAAGTATTTTGATAATAAAATTTGATTTTATTAAGAACAGTTAAAATAGACAAATATTTTTAACTTTTCTCTAATTCTTGCATTTTAAAACATCTAAGATACCTGCCATGGATGTGAAATCATGAGTTTCAGTACATTCAGTACTTTGATTGTTATATTCCATTTTTGTCAGGTCTGTGGCAGCAATGGGGCGTCTTATGACAACATGTGTGAATTACTGAAGGCTAATTGTACAACAGGAAGTGACAGCATCATTAATCTACAACATTATGGTTATTGTGGTGAGTAAGGAAGGGGAAATAGGGGAAAAGGTTTGTGGGAGAATAGGAAGAAGGGATTTGTGGGGAAATGGAGAGAGCGAATAATGGAGAAATGGGTTGAATAGAAAGCAAACATTCTAGAATGATCAAGTTTGAAAATATAGATTTAAAGGAAAAAAGGGATGGAGTTAATTATAGGCAAAATAAGAGAAGAACAAAATGGAGAATAAAGAAAAGGTAATAATTAGTTGCATGCAGGTATTAAAATAAGATTTTAAAATTTTCACTACATTTGTAATCATTACATTTCTTGTTTTGTAGATAAAGATGGCTGTGGGGACATGAGAGGGGCGTGTGAGTACTACGGAGTGTGTAACAGGCGGGGGGGATCTGCTCGGTGCGTGTGTCCTGACGCTATAGACTGCTGGGGAGTAAGCATTATTTTGTTATCTCTACCCACGTAACCTTTATAAATGTTGATTGTTCTCTTTTATTCCATAGCAATTTTGTATGGTCTAGTAAATAAAGCTGATTGGTTTTGGTTCTTGGTTATATTAATGTATACCAATTATTATGATTTTCATATAATATTTCCTTCATTACTTTCCAATTGAAATCATGCCATAATACAATATTATAGATTTTTCTGGCATGTATATATATGTATCAGTTTTCAGTATTTCTTGTACATTTTTACAGGCTGACTCAAAAATCTGTGGCAGTGACCATAAAACATATGAGAGCGAATGCATGATGAAAGTGACGTCGTGTAACGAGAGGAGGGTTATATCTGTGACATCAGTGGGGGAATGTAGTAAGTATAATGTACCACAGCGAGAGTTTGATGAAGGTGACCTTGAAGTTCATAATTGATTATGGCTACAAATTCAGTATATAGGAATAATAAAGTGGGATATTTTGACCAGAGCTACTTCTAGCTCACCTGAGCTGAAAGCTAAAGTGAGTTTTTCTGATCACCCATTTTCCGTTGTCCGTCCATCTGGAACATTTCACATTTTCAACTTCTCAAGAACCATGGGGCCAATTTTAACCAAACTTGGTACAAAGCATCCTTTGGTAAATGGGCGTTTAAATTGTTAAAATGAAGGGTCAGGTCCCATCATAAGGGGAGATAATCAAGAAAAGGCAAAAATAGGGTGGGGTCTTTAAAAAATCTTCTTCTCAAGAACCACTGGGTCAGAAAAGCTGAAACTTATGTGGAAGCATCCTTGGGTAGTGTAGATTCTAAGTTGTTCAAATCTTTAAATCTTGACCCACTGGCAATATGGCAGGACCACAATAGGAAATCAGAGTTTAACATTGAAATTATTAGGAAAAATCCAAAAAATTGTCCAAACTAATCATGACCCCTGGGAGTAGGGTGGAGTAACAATAGGTATTGCAAGGGGGGAATCTGTTCTTTCAGAATGGCAAAAGTTACTCAGGTGAGCAGTGTGGCCCATGGGCTTGTTTACTTTGCTTGTTTGACTCTTTGTTTAATGTGTATGATGTTAGTTGTATTGTCTGTTTTAGCCACGTGCCAGGAGGAGTGTGGGTTTTTCTCTAAGTGTATGTACGGTCGCTGTGAATGTGATGCGTTTTGCTCCTCTGAGGGTCCTCCCGTCTGTACCAGTGACGGACAGAGGTTTAACAATGACTGCGAGAGGAGGAGGAATGTGTGTGAGAATCGACGGCAGCTCAAAGTCGTGCCTTGTGAAACTAAAGGTAGCTTGTTTAAGATGACTTTAAGGAGGCTGGTGGGTCAACAAATCAATCCCAGATTTAACTTATTTATTTAGATACAGTATCTTTAGCTGTCAACTATCATTTGGCAAAGAAAAAATTCATACATTTTAGTTTTAAAATTTTATCATTTTTGTATATCTTTATATGGAGCTCTCCTTTTAAAGGAGATTGAAATAGTCTAGAAATGGCTGCCACCCCCCAGCCTCGTTAACATCACAAATTACATTAACTTTTTAGCTCTTCTGAGCCAAAGGCTCAAAGAGCTAATGCTATGGCCATTTGTGCGGTGTGCGGTGTGCGTTAACTTTTTAGAATATGGGCCATAACTCAAGAACCCCTTGGCCAATCAGTGTCAAATTTGTCACAGGGTATCCTTGGCCCAAGGGCTACCATTTATACTAAAATAAGGGTTGGGACCCTAAAACAAGGGGAGATAATCAGGAAAACACAACCAAAAGTACTGGTTGCTAAAAAATCTTCTTCTCCAGAACCACCAGGCAGATTTTCACCAAACTTACATACAAGGATCAGGACATGTTGAAGATTAAAAATTGTTCAAGGCATGACCCTGGGGCAAAGGGCGTGGTCTCAAGGTCACTTCAAAGTTGACCTAATTTTACAATTAATAAAAATGTTTATATTTTGCTAACTATAAGGACTAGGATCATCAAATCTTGTAAGTTGATGCATCTTAGGACTTTACATCATGTTAACTCAAAAGTAGGTCACGGTGACCTACTTTTAGCTCTACTGGTCAGAGACCAGAAGAGCTTATGCGATAGTAATGCGTCCGGCGTCCGTCCGTCTGTCCGTCTGTCTGTCTGTCTGTCTGTAAACAATTTTTCAAAATGCTACTCCTCCTACAGTTTTGATCTGATTTCAATATAACTTGGCATATAAGTAGACTATACTAAGATACATAATTCTGTGTATCAGTTTTTGATTTCGACGAACGGTGTTGGCATTGTTACTAAAAATAGAAATTTCTGTGAAATTCTTTCAAAATGCTACTTCTCCTACAGTTTTGGTCTGATTTCAATATAACTTGGCACACAAGTAGACTACACTAAGGTACATAATTCTGTAATCGGTTTTTGATTTCGACGAACGGTGTTGACGTTGTTACTAAAAATAGAAATTTCTGTGAAATTCTTTCAAAATGCTACTCCTCCTACAGTTTTGGTATGATTTCAATATAACTTGGCACACAAGTAGACTACACTAAGATACATAATTCTGTGTATCGGGTTTTGATTTCGACGAACGTTGTAGGCGTTGTTACTAAAAATAGAAATTTCTGTGAAATTCTTTCAAAATGCTACTCCTCCTACAGTTTTGGTCTGATTTCAATATAACTTGGCACACAAGTAGACTACACTAAGATACATAATTCTGTATATCAGTTTTTGATTTCGACGAACAGTGTTGGCGTTGTTACTAAAAATAGATATTTCTGTGAAATTCTTTCAAAATGCTACTCCTCCTACAGTTTTCGTATGATTTCAATAAAACTTGGCATATAAGTAGACTACACTAATATACATAATTCTGTATATCGATTTTTGATTTCGACGAACGGTGTTGGCGTTGTTACTAAAAATAGAAAATTCTGTAAAATTCTTTCAAAATGCTACTCCTCCTACAGTTTTGGTCTTATTTCAATATAACTTGGTATATAAGTATAAGACTACACTAAAATACATAATTCTGTGTATCGGTTTTCGATTTCGACAAATGGTGTTGGCATTGTTACTAAAAATAGAAATTTATGTGAAATTCTTTCAAAATGCTACTCCTCCTATAGTTTTGGTATGATTTCAATATAACTTGGCACACAAGTAGACTACACTAAGGTACATAATTCTTTATATCCGTTTTTGACTTCAATGAACATTATTACCTTGGTTAATAAAGATAGCAATTTCTGTTACTCTCAAAATGCTACTTCAAATACAGTTTTAGTCTGATTATAATATAATGTGGCATGCAAGTAGACTACACTAAGAACATAAAGAGACTTATTCAAGGATCATTATTCTCTTTTTTGCTAGTGTAAAGTTTCAATTCCCAACTGCTTAAGTACTTTCCTCTTCCTTTGCTATAAGTACAGACCAGTAGAGCTTCAGTCTCGACAGAGACTTCTGGTTTAATTTTGCGGGCATCTGTTTTCAAATTGATTTAAAGGCATATTTTGAACACTTTAAGGCCTATGATCATCAAACTTTGTCAGTTGATGCATCTTGGGTCCTTGAACAATGTCAACTTAAAAGTAGGTCACCGTGACCTACTTTTTGAACTTTATGACCTATCCTTTTTAAAACATTTAATCCCATTATTTCAGACACTAAGAGGGTTAGAATCATCAAATCTTGTAAGTTGCTGCATCTTGGGACCTTAAAACATATTTAAGAAAAAGTAGGTCACTGTGACCTACTTTTAGAATTTTGCAGGCATTTGTTTTCAAATTGTTTATAAGGCATATTTTGATTACCTTCAGACCTATGATCATCAAACTTGGTCAGCAGATGCATCTTGGGACTCTAAAAAACGTCAACCAAAATGTAGGTCACAGTGACCTACTTTCGACATTTTATGGCTATATTTAAGTATCTTAGGTATTTATTGGCTTAGAATCATCAAACTTTGTGAGTTGATGCATCTTGGGTTTTCGGAGAGTGACGATCAAAAATTAGGTCACGGTGACCTACTTTCGACATTTTATGGCTATATTTAAGTATCTCTGGTACTTATGGGTTTAGAATCATCAAACTTTGTCAGTTGATGCATCTTGGGTTTTTGGAGAATGATGACCAAAAATTAGGTCACGGTGACCTACTTTCGACATTTTATGGCTATATTTAAGTATCTCCGGTACTTATTGGCTTAGCATCATCAAACTTAGTGAGTTGATGCATCTTGGGTTATCGGAGAGTGACGACCAAAAAGTAGGTCATGGTGACCTACTTTTGATATTTTATGGCTATATTTATGTATCTCTGGTACTTATTGGTTTAGAATCATCAAACTTTGTTAGTTAATGCCTCTTGGGTTTTCAGAGAATGTCGACCAAAAAGAAGGTCATGGTGACCTACTTTTGAATATCTCAGGTATTTATTGGCTTAGAATTATCAAACTTGGTCAGCAGATGCATCTTGGGACTCTGAAAAATGTTGACTAAAATGTAGGTCATGATGACCTACTTTTGACATTTTATGGCTATATTTATGTATCTCTGGTACTTATGGGTTTAGAATCATCAAACTTTGTGAGTTGATGCATCTTGAGTTTTCGGAGAATGACGACCAAAAATTAGGTCACGGTGACCTACTTTCGACATTTTATGGCTATATTTAAGTATCTCCGGTACTTATTGGCTTAGAATCATCAAACTTAGTGAGTTGATGCATCTTGGGTTTTCGGAGAGTGACGACCAAAAAGTAGGTCATGGTGACCTACTTTTGATATTTTATGGCTATATTTATGTATCTCTGGTACTTATAGGTTTAGAATCATCAAACTTTGTTAGTTGATGCCTCTTGGGTTTTCAGAGAATGTCGACCAAAAAGTAGGTCACGGTGACCTACTTTTGAATATCTCAGGTATTTATTGGCTTAGAATTATCAAACTTGGTCAGCAGATGCATCTTGGGACTCTGAAAAATGTTGACTAAAATGTAGGTCACGATGACCTACTTTTGACATTTTATGGCTATATTTAAGTATCTTAGGTATTTATTGGCTTAGAATAATCAAACTTTGTCAGTTGATGCATTTTTGGTTTTCCAAGAATGTAGACCAAAAAGGAAGTCAAGGTGACCTACTTTTGAATATCTCAAATACTTACCAGTAATTGCTTAGAATCTTCAATCTTAGTTTGTCTATTAATGCATCTTGAGTCCTCAGAAAACTTCAATCTTGAAGTAGGTCAATGTAACATACTTATGTTTTTTTGTATTGCTTTATTAAAATATCTTCAGTCCTATTGGCTAAGAATTATGAAACTTTGTCAGTTGATGCAACTTGGGTCTTAGGATACTTAGGGTTAGAGGCTTCAAATACAAGTGATAGGTTGTACAATTTATCAGAAGAGCGATTCAAGGCCCTTGGGCCTCTTGTTGATAGTAATTTAAAAGGTATTTATTTTTTGAGAAAAATAAAAAATAAGGTAAGAATTTGACAAATTTAGATAGAAAAAAATTATTCGGTTATAGCAAAGTTCTTGGAGCCTGTGAATTTAATTTGCTATGTCTGTATAACGATTTCATATTCTTATATATAGCAAATTTTTTCTTTGGTCAGTGTATACTTTCCATATGTCTGTGTGTCTGTCAGTGTGTGAAATCTAATATTTCCTTTGACAGGTTGTACATCTGACTATGAGTGTCTTTACTATGGTCAGTGTATTAAAGGCGTCTGTCAGTGCGGCCGTGTCTGTCCCCGCGTGCAGAAGACCGTGTGCACATCTGACGGTCAGGAGTTCTATAACGAGTGTGAACTACAGAAACACATGTGTCAGCAGCAGATCTCCCTGACGTACACCATCGGGGAGTGTCCCAGAGAAGGTTCAGGATCGGGGGCATCTGGGGGTATACATGTTGTCTCATCTTAAACCAGGTTTCTCACATCAGTTGTATAAAAGTTTCTGTGCTGCTTGCCGTATGTTTGAACCCACATACTGGCAAGCAGCTAGATACATAGCGTAATTTGGGGGTAAAGAATGATTGTCCACTTTGAAGACAAAGTTGAAGAATTTTCAGGAAGTTGTCTTTACTTGTACATGTAACACCATTATCTGTCAATCATGCTCTTGTCATTATGCAGATAAGTCATGTTTTGATCAAAATTCGATGTGGGAAATTTGGTTTTTCTACAGCTTTTTAAGTTTCTAGAAGTAGTGTTGTGTTAAATGTCATTTTCTGAAGCACTTTCAAAATTTTTTTTCTTTATTTTTTCTGAATTGGAATGATCTGTTTATAGTCCGTTTAAAGTAGATGTATTTTAATATTTAACTTTCACAAAGTATACCTGCTAAATCTCATGCTTCTAGTTTATAGAGAAAGCTCAAGATTCTTCTGAAATTAGCTTCTCTGAATAGTTGTGTCAGTCAAACTATTCAATGCTTGAGTTGTCAAGTATTTCACAGAGAATAACAGGTATACTGGTTTCTGATTTGATGTCCTCCAGTGTCAGATGTAACATTCATTTGATAAATGTATTAGAAAAATGCATGGATTTTAAATGTTGTAATACATCCTTTAGACTTAAGTTGTTAAAGTTAGAGTTAAAAGAATTCTGTTTAGTAAGAGACGTGTGTGTAATTGGTCTGCTTTGAATATTGTCATGCTATTGTAAGACACTCTGTGATTGGTCAGATGGCTTGGAAGGTTCCGGTGAGGAGGAGTTTACGAGGTTATTGATGTGTGACGACAGTTTGTGTGCCTACGGAGGAATATGTCTGCCGTACCCCGATGGAACACATAGATGTACATGTGACTTTGGATGTATTGCTGTGAGGTATTTGTCAATTTTACCTTATTTTCATGTTATGTGGATTATAGTTCTATTAAGGGGGCCGACTATAGTTTCCATTGCACAATATTTCGCGCATCATAGTAAAATGAAGCGTATTTACTGTTTTAATGCATCTTTTTTCGCTTAATTATTAAAATTAAACAAAATGCAGAAATTATAGGTATAAAAATGTAATTACAATTTCATATAACAGATTTTTTAACCGATTTTGCAATTGATAGGTAGGTTGACGTCGTTGCAGTGTGCTTTTAGCTCACCTGAGCCGAAGGCTCAAGTGAGCTTTTCTGATCACATTTTGTCTATAGTCCGTCTGTCCGTCTGTCTGTCTGTCTGTAAACTTTTCACATTTTCGACTTCTTCTCAAGAGCGGCTGGGCCAATTTCAACCAAACTTGCCACAAAGCATCCTTGGGTGAAAGGGATTCAAGTTTGTTCAAATGAAGGGCCACGCCCTCATTCAAGGGGAGATAATTGGGAATTAATAAAAATTTGGTGGCATGGTTTAAAAATCTTCTTCTCAAGAACCACTGTGCCAGGAAAGATGAAACTTATATGGAAGCATCCTCAGGTAGTGTAGATTCAAGTTTGTTCAAATCATGACCCCGGGGGTAGGGCGCGGCCACAATGGCCGACCAAAGTATAACATAGAAATATATAGGAAAATTCTTTAAAAATCTTCTCAAGAACCACTGTGCCAGGAAGGATGAAATATGGAAGCATCCTCAGGTAGTGTAGATTCAAGTTTGTTCAAATCATGACCCCCGGGGGTAGGGCAGGGCCACAATGGTCGACCAAAGTCTTACATAGAAATATATAGGAAAATTCTTTAAAAATCTTCTTTTCAAGAACCACTGTGCCAGGAAAGATGAAACTTATATGGAAGCATCCTCAGGTAGTGTAGATTCAAGTTTGTTCAAATCATGACCCCCGGGGGTAGGGCGGGGCCACAATGGCCGACCAAAGTATTACATAGAAATATATAGGAAAATTCTTTAAAAATCTTCTTCTCAAGAACCACTGGGCCAGGAAAGATGAAACTTATATGGAAGTATCCTCAGGTAGTGTAGATTCAAGTTTGTTCAAATCATATCCCCCGGGGGTAGGGTGGGCCACAATGGCCAACCAAAGTATTACATAGAAATATATAGGAAAATTCTTTAAAAATCTTCTCAAGAACCACTGGGCCAGGAAAGATGAAACTTATATGGAAGTATCCTCAGGTAGTGTAGATTCAAGTTTGTTCAAATCATGACCCCCGGGGGTAGGGTGGGCCACAATGGGCTACCAAAGTTTTACATAGAAATATATAGGAAAATTCTTTAAAAATCTTCTTTTCAAGAACCACTGTGCCAGGAAAGATGAAACTTATATGGAAGCATCCTCAGGTAGTGTAGGTTCAAGTTTGTTCAAATCATGACCCCTGGGGGTAGGGCGGGGCCACAATGGCCGACCAAAGTTTTACATGGAAATATATAGGAAAATTCTTTAAAAATCTTCTTCTCAAGAATAACAAAGCCATAATTGATCATATTTATATGGAAGCATCCTACGGTAGTGTAGATTAAAGTTTGTTCAAATCATGACCCCCAGGGAAAGGGTGGAGCCAAAATGGCCAACCAAAGTTTTACATTAAAATATATAGGAAAATTCTTTAAAAATCTTCTTCTCAAGAATACCCCTGCGAGACGATCATGAATAATTCATGAATTTCCTTGAATTTTTCATGAATTCTATTCATGAAATGTTCATGAAATGTTCATGAAGATCCTATGAACTTATTATTGGACATTTTCAAATCATGAATTTTCATTCATGAAAGAAAATTGATGAATATTCATGAATATTTTTTTTCATGAATAATTCATGAAGAGTCATATTCATGAAGATTCATCATTTCAGGAATGTCCAATAATAAGTTCATTGGATCTTCATGAACTATTCATGAATAATTTGATGAATTTTTTCAGGAATGTTCATGAATGAATAAAATTCATGAACCATTAGCATTCATGAATATTCTTGCTTATATGTAAACAAAAAATGCAATATTATTATTCATGTTTATTCATGAAAATGCATGAAGTCATGCTAAAAAAGTAACAGTAGATGATTTTTAATACAGCATCTTGAAAGATTTCACAGAAATGTTGTTTGTTTTCCAACCATGGCAACAAAATCTTTGTTAAAAAACTTAAAATAGACAGTTCTGACACATTAAACCATAGTAAATGAGTAATGTAGTTCATTCCTGGTAAAAGTACAAAAAATTTCAATTCAAATGCAACTCTTTGCAGAATGTTTAACCTTACTTGGTCAAAAGGAGAGGGGGACCCTTCCTCAGCATGTTTCAAATTATGTTTTAATGCCAGAAATTGAACAGTTTTTAATTCCAGTCTAGGAGAAAAGTTTGTTCAGCACCAGGGTAACAGTTTTCAGTGCTTTCAAGCAGTTCGAGCAGAGATGGTCAATTCAAAAATCCTTACTGTCTCTCCATGTGGAATTTCCAGAATTTCATCATTTGGATCCTTTGATTGAATATCATTCATATTTTCATTTCTTTTTCAAGAGCTCAAATTTTTGTGCAGCCAGAGTTTCTTGTCTTCTGCTCATCAACATTTGTGAATTGCTTCTCTTTTTCCTTCAAAAAGAAAGATTTTCTGAAAGTACCCATGATTGTAAAACATAAGACTATTTTGTATTTTCTTGCATTTTAGTTTCATTTAATTTTGCATCAGAGACACTTCCAAATTAATACATTCTAGTGGAATTTAAGCCTATTTTCTTGGACCGCCATTTTGTACATCTATCAATCAGGCCTATGAATGTTTTGAGTCTCAGTCTATAATTAATGTATGTTATATGGTTGGATCCAAACTCAAAGCAAAGTTAGACAAAAATTGCATTAAAAAAAGAGACATATTAATCTATCATAATGTGCTTTAATTAGTTGTTATTTTACAAATAGACAGTAACTTTCTGACTCAGTGATTGCCTCCATTTTTTGTCACTCACCAGTTATGAAGTAGATCGATCCTATATATAGTCTTCCTTCTTCATATTCTGTTATTTTCTTAAAAAGTTGACAAAGATCAGTGACTGTACTGTTTATTGGACACACCTCGTGAGAGGGTAAAAAACTACAAATTACAAAAGCATAATAAGAATTTGACAAAATATCAAAATCGTACGCAATCATACAAAATTAAATGCGTAACTTTAACATGTGAGCTGAACAGGCCTATATGCCTATCGCATGCTGGAAATGCGCGGTTTTACAAAACATTGTGGTTGCAGAATTGAAACATGATAAAATATATTGCATAATACTGTTAGATACAGATGATCAAGTTAGATGTAAATTCAAGTAAAACAATATAAAACTTACTCCTTAGGGAGGCCAACATCACCAAACTTAACAGCCAAAACACCAGGCAAACCCCATGGCTACCATAATTAGTAATAAACAGAATATTGAACCCGATCGAAATAAAATTATGCAATACGAAAACGGCACAGTGACTATGCAAATAATAGATCACAAATACTGATTCTTCCACTCTACAAATTCCCACTTCCAACGTCTCGCGCGTTTTCAAGTTTGCGCCTATGGAACGCCGTCACTGCCTTATAGCAGAACACTGCGATTGCATTGCGTCAACCTTCCATTACATTATGTCAACTCTTTATGACATTTACTCACACTGGTATTGCATTGTGTCAACTTTCCTTTACATTAGGTCAACTTTTTATGACATTAACCCACACTATATTGCATTGTGTCAACTTTCCATTACATTATATCAACTCTTTATGACATTAACCCACACTACTATTGCATTGTGTCAACCTTCCATTACATTATATCAACTCTTTATGACATTAACCCACACTACTATTGCATTGTCTCAACCTTCCATTACATTATGTCAACTCTATGACATTAGCCCACACTACTATTGCATTGTCTAAACCTTCCATTACATTATGTCATCTCTTTGTGACATTTATTAACACTACTATTGCATTATCTCAACTTTCTATTACATTAGGTCAACTCTTTATGACATTTACACACACTACTATTACATTGCGACAACTTTCTTTTACATTATGTTAACTTTTTTATGACATTTACTAACACTTCAATTATATTGCATCAATCTTTCATTGCATTATATCAGCTCTTTGTGACATTATGTCAAAAGATTTTTACGTGGTGTTAAGATACATTTATATAATTTCAACTCAGTATTACGTACATTATGTGCACTCTCTACTATTTGGTCTAAGTAGTTCATTACATGATGTGAATTTATCTTAATTTGATATCAAGTCGCTATGATACGATGTCAGAATTTCATTACATGATGTCAAAAAATTGTCACATGTGGTCAATTCTTTTACTACCTTATGTCATCAATATGCAACATGACGACGTGAATCAATTTCATGATGTGAATTTGCCCTTACTTTTTAACAAATCGTTATTACGTTATGTCATTGTGTCTTTACAATGTGTCAAAAATGCTCAGCCTCTTGTCAGAATACGTGTATCTTAGGCTTTTTCATATTGATCAGGTGTGGAAAGCTCATGTTATACTGTGCGCACTCTTCTACATTATGTCGATTCACTATTACGTTATGCGAACACGGGTATCCTCGGCCTTTATATGAGCATAACGTATTTTCCGTGTTCCGCATGCAGGCACTAAAAATGGCGGGAAAGAAAACAGTCGTAGAAGAAATTCTCGGCGATTTGGGAATGGCATATTAAATGAAAACATAAAGCGACAAACGATTGACAATCTTGAAACGTGCAGCGCAAAGCCTTCAAACTGCGACTGTGAATTAATTTCAATGGCGTTTACTTTAATCTGATAATCAAATAAATCAAATATTATGAGTCGAGCAGCATTTTTTTTATTTTCATATTGAATTTTTTTTTATAGAAGTCTTAAACTTCTTATCTTATTAAGAACATTG